AGCCCCTTATTCAGTAGTAAAAGTATTTTTTTTATTTGTTCAGGAGGGGGGGGGGGGGGGGGAGGCGGGGAGAGAAAAAAGAGCTATTTCCTTACTCGTTCGTATTCATCCTTGGCTTTACTAAGCATTTCCAGGATGTCAATGGGCCTGTTTTCCTTGCAGCCATTGGTTCTGCTGGGACTTTTTCTGTCCTGGGAAACTTGCTGTGATCTCTGAGCTTCTTGTTCTACCACTCTGTAACAGGAAAGGATAAATAGGATTTTAAAATTTTATCTGGAGTTAACATCTTGCAAAAAGCAGTAAAGAAAAACGTACTGCCAGCATATTAACACATTTTGTTCCGCCTGTACAAAAAACTAACACATAGTTGACCAAAGTTACACAAGTTTTCATTTGCTACAAGGTTTATACAAGTCAAACTGTCAAACGGTCTGTACGATTTATCTCCAATCCAGACAGCACTGGTCTGTCTCTCACAAAGTTTGCCTACAGTAAACACTACCTCTGTAAAACTGTCCTATTTAGACATTTCTAAAATAAAATACATGAACACTCAAGCACGTGTTATACAAAGAGCACATGTATTATACCATAGACTGAGTAAAATACATTTTTTACTCTTTACTTCCTAACATGCATTTTTTCCATATTTAGCCAAATCAAGCCATGTTATTCAACGAAATCAATTACAAAACAGTTCTAATTTAGGATGAAGCCTACCATTATACAACAAAACAAAGACACTGGGAAAGAAAAGAGCTGGCTTACACCAGATATCTCTGGAGTCAGTCTGCAAGGAGGCCTAAAGCAAGTTACCCCTTACTCCCCCACTTAAGGCTCTGGAAAGAAGGGCAAACCATTTTCTTCTCTAGCTGCCCTGTAGTCATTCCAATTACCTGCAGGTCTACAACACGTCTTTTCCTCTGGCCTTTGGCGCCTATGGTTCATTCACTACCTGCCTCAAGTATCAAAAAATTTCAGTTTAAAAGACGGTTAAGATATGCAAGAAGATGATGCACCCCTAGTACATTTCATTAATAAAAGTAAAAGCATCATATATTTCTACTCCTAATCCATACGCAGTTCACAAGATATACATGGCTGGGCAATGCACTAAAGCTTATCCTCTTGAAATAAACACACACCAGCCTGTAATCCCTTCTTTTTTAAGCCTGCATTAATCAAATATGTTAAGAAAAAACAAGCACTGTAAACAGGGCAGAGCTCTGGAGCTGGCATGTCACTTGAGAATTCTCATGCTGTGGAACTGATGGCTGATGGGGAAGCCAAGAGGTGCCATCATAACAATCACAGAAACTGTCAATCATTCCAGCCTCCAGTTTCTTTGGGTCAGTTAGGATTCAGAAGTAACTCTAGATTTTATAGACTGTAGAGTAATTAGATATTTATAGGCACCTCTATGTTGCCATTTCTGAGGAAAAAAAATAGTTCAAGTCTTGGAAGTTTCTTCCCAGTTTTCTAGCAACCAAGCCTCTCTACTTCACTAGAGTTTAGCTGTGTTTATTTGAAGAAAGGTTAGACTTGGCTTGTAACAATATAATGCTGCTTTCGAAATTACTTTGGAAATTTTTAATCATACAAGCCACTTATTTAACCAGCTTCTCATTATTAGTACAGCTTTCTCTGTTTGCAAGCAAGCATTCAGCTGCAAACGTAACTCAGAATAGGGAGGCCAATCTACACTCTGTCTGACAATTTCTAAGAACTGCAGCATGTGCTCATTTGGATGAAGCAGCTCAATACTGTGCAAATGTTTCTATGGTGACACCCTAGGAGAACATCTTGTTCTAGCACCCTACGGTCATACAGTCCTGACTTAGGACTTGTCTAAACCCAACTCTGAAACTAGGGATGAGAAAGGGCAAGGTAAAAGAACCAGAAAACTTTGCTGAATTTTTAAGTGTCAGCATAATTGTATCAGAAAAAAACAGATACTTTAGTTAAAGGGAAAATTCTGGACAGCTCAAGTCATGCATGTACTTCCTGACAGGTGAAGCAAAGGCTTCAGTCTTGGGACCCTCCTTCTGCTCTTAACTACTTGGTCAGAAGGTTTCAACAAAACATCTTCCTATTAGAATAGTACTAATTGGTCTCATAGCAAAACATCTTCAAGGAGTACATCCATTTCACAGAAACGTTTCACAAAGATTTCTGAAAAACACTTCATAATATTTTTCTGTTGTCCATTATGAAGTATTTGTTACCTTTTTAAGAGTTTACTTTTTTTTTTTTGAAGAATAACAATTAAATTATCTTCTCATGTAGATGACTCTCTAATAGCTCTTCCTCTATCTTCTGTCTTGTGCAGGTTACATTCAGATGGCGGTGATGGGGTAACTGTGAAACAGTATATTCCCAAAGCTCTGAGATACTCTCCCACTTCTAGCTTGTTGCCTGTATCTCAGAAGCCAGTTTGGGTCTGACTGTTGAAACAGGGTAAAACAAGCCTATAAACTAATCTAAAAATACCCTCCCTACAAATTTACATGTCAGAATTCAATAGTTTCACAAAGATTTGAAAAACTGTACTTTCTGTTCTACTTCTAGAAAGCTCATCCCTCAAACACCTTGACTTAACTTGACCCAAATTAATTCCTTCTAAAGTTAGCAGTTTGATGACTCCCATAAAATTTTTTCATTTCAGAAAATTCTAGAATTCTTTTTTATAAAAAAAAAAATTCTGTAAATCAAATACCTTTGCTGGAGAAAAAAAGTCAACTAATGCAAATCTGTACACTGAGCATGGTCTGTGTGCAATCCAGGATTAGATCTTTTTTAAGCAAGGCCTGCTGCTTCTTTCCATTATATCAGATAGTGGAAGAGGCACACATTCCTTCAGGGACACAGTAGCTGCTGTGACAGTTTGCTTAAGAGTATCTGCAGTTATAGCATTGAAAATATACCTGGCACAACCTCACAAAAGGGAGGGTGGGAAGCAGGGAGAGAATGTGAGAAGTGAAGTCTGTGATTACAAAGCCCACAAACACTAATTTACTTTTCTTTTGAAAGATAAGCCACCAAAATATAAATGGATGGCCTGCAATCTTGTTAACTCAGTCTGGCACAATAAGGTCAAGTGAAACAGCAGGAAAGAGAATGCAAATCTCCTTGAAACCTTTTATGGTTATGTTTTTGAAGCTCTGAAGTGCTATAAAGGCAGTACTCTTTCCTATCAGTGATAGAAAAAAAACCCACCTAAACGAAAGGGTGGCAATCCACTTTTCCACCCAAGACAAAGACAAAAACTATGGAACAAAATTAATACTCATGGAAGACAATGTAAATATTTATTTCAAAATATACTGAACTAAGCCTGATGGAGCCTGCTACCATGTGCTGAAATGCAGCTTTCCTTCTCTAAGATGCAATTTTATTTTCTTTTTTAAATTAAAAAGTATGCTTTAAGTTTTCTTAAATACATCTTTCACCCCAGGATGAAATAATTCCTGCAGTTTCATCCTCCTTGTAGAGAAGTACATACAAGTACCAGCATTTTCACTTTTCTTCTGGCTGCCTTCTACCTATTTTGGCGGAGAAAAAGCTTGTTGTTTGTGGAAATGGATGTCAGCAAAATAGTTACAAACTTGATGAAAAGCGGATTGATACAAACAGCCTCAGAAGTGCAGTTTCTGCATCCTATAGTAATGTGCAACTACAATTCCTTCATTTCGTTTTCCCCAATATGAATCTTTAGATACTCGGAAGCTATAAGGCATGTGGTGCCAAATAAAGTGTGATTTCATTCTACAGTGCTTTTTCAACAAATAAAAGTAAATATACTTACACTAAATACCTTTCTTGGTATAAAAATAGCTTCTGCAAATACTTTTGTTACCCCCAAACCAACACACAATTTTAAAGGAAAAAAACCACCTAGAAGTATTCGGACATTCCATAATCTAATAACAATGAAAGGCGTTATGAAAAAAAGCACTCAGATAATGAAAGACATTACTAGCAGTACTTAGGCTAGCAAAGATCACTTATACCTTTATTACCAAGTTAATGGCAGCAAAGACTAAAAATCATACTAAAGTGAGGTCCTAGCCAGCTCAGCAAAATTTAACTGTCTGTATTCTGTAAATATCCAATCAATCTTTTTTATGTGCATATTTGATTTTCCTAGTTTCACTTGCGTAACTCTGAAGTGACAAAGCTCAATACATGTTCCCCAAAGTCTGCTTGATACGTTAAATCTAATTTCAGTTTCAAAGATATTTTTAATCCACAATCATTCCAAGACCTACCATAAAAAATTCCAACATCTTAAAAATACATCTCAGCTTTTTGACCTTCCAAAATAATTTGTAATCTCAGAAACTTTCTAGGGTGCTGAGATGCTACAATTACAAGAGCGTGTGAATATCTGCACCATAAACAGGGGCGAAGCAATGCCAACTTTGGCACTTCTGCCTCTGCGTATTAATAAAGCTGCAATACAAGCATCAGGGACCTAAGAAAAGGCAGGCTACGCTAGTTTACAAAGGAGATGACAATAAAGCTTAGATTATTCCCAGACCGACTGTAAATGAACCTACTGGGTTACAGTTATTTCCAGAACATTAAAGAATCCAGCAAAAACAGTAGACATGCTTTATGGACTGCTGAGCCATGGCTAGACTGGTCTGTTACCTGATTACACTTTTAAAGATCCCTGAAGTATCTATAGCCCATGATTTGTGCTATAGTGACTAGACTAGTTTAATACCAAATGAACTCAAGTTTTGCTATATGACACTTAGATCTGCAGTGTAGCTGTGCATGACAGAAGAAGAACACGGTGAAGTTTGAAGGGTTCAGCTCTCTCCCCTACTGCAAAGATTAATCATGGTTTCCCATTAAAAGGTGCATTAAAAAAAGAAAACCTTGCCCTTCTGATGCTCTGTTTATAAAGTGGAGAGGCAACAGACATTTTATTTGTTTTGGTAACAATTTCTGAGAGTCAGTTTCACACAACTGTTTTCCATTAATCCTTATATTTGTACAAGCCAAATAACAGCAAAAAGTCCAACACAGCTGGGGGGTGTGGGGTGGCGGGGAGCAGGAAATGGGAACCATATAGGGTTATCAGGATGAGAGAACAGAAAAATCAGAATTCAGAAAGAGATCATGATATCAAAGTCTGTCATTTGTGTTGTCTTACACGGCTTCTGTGGGGAAAAGCCAAAATAACCCAAAGCAAAAGCCCCAGAACAAGAAATTAGAATTCAGCTTAAAATGTCTACGCTATGACTAGTTTCCATATAATTAAGTTTTGCCAGCCTTCAAGATGTCCTGACTTGCCAGACATGACATGCTGATTAAGGCATGCAATAGAAAAGAAAGTTCAGGAAAGTAGAGTGTGATGGTGAAGAAAAGCAAAGCAGAGAGCAAGGGATGAGAAGATATCCTGTGCAGTATATCTGCATTTTGCAATTTTGCATTTTTGCAAGTGTAACTACCCTGTCACACACTTCAAGCTCCTTCCTTTCATAAGAACATTGAAGATTTGCCTAACTTAATTCTGTTCCTTTTCTATTAGTAAAAAGTCTTGGCTTAATCCGCAAGGCACCTTGCCTGAAGGAGCAGAAAGGTGCAAGAATACCCTCCAATCACAACATGTTTTAAAGACTAAGCCACATTGCCAACTCAACCAGTTCCAGCCTTCTTTGACCTCTGTTGTTCACTCAAACTTCTGTACTGTGGTCTGAAGCCCTCCTCAGCTGTGGCAGTGCCACCATCTACAGTACAGACAGGCTGCATTGCTGCAGCGATAGCAGCTGAAACAAACTAACAAAACCATGTTCTTGCAAACACAGTCTTTTAAGGTTTCTTTAAATTGAGATCACTTCAGAAATTCTCCTTCTGCATGACATCTCTAGGCTGTTGGAACCATAAAATAAGAGCAAGTGGCATGGCAGCTTTATAAACCAACTTTATTGCCAAAGGGGGGAAAAAAAAAGAAAGAAGGAAAGAAAAAAAACAACAAGCTCCTATTATTTCATAGTTTTGTTTACTCTCCTAACATCACTTTCATTCTTCTGTAAGACTCTACCTACTTCTCCCACTATTCTCCAATCTCTTCACTTTAGTCAGGAATAATAACTAATCCTTAAAAAAACCCAAAACCAACACAAACCCACACAAAAACCAGCCCACCACCAAACAAACCACAACACCAACCAAAAAAATGTGGCCATCATTTATTTGATTACACTTTCTGCATCAGAGCATCTTTTGCCAGCATCCCTATACAAAATAAAATATAAAGTAATAAACAGTGTTCATACTTGCTTTCTTTGGAGAATGCCAACTAATACTTCAACTGATTTTTTTTACCACTTAACTGAAAATTTTAATGCTGTAGTTTTTTTTTAAAAAACAAAAGCAACATTTTGATTACTGAAAAAACCTGTACCAGCAAGAACATTGTATTTTTCTATTTAAGGAGAGTGAGGAAAAAACCCAAACACATTTAATAGGTTCAATTTTTTTTTTTTCTGTATTGCATAGAAGAGTTACAGAATAAGACCACAGTACTTACTTAGCCATGAGCTTTGCTATTCGATGACAGTCATTCTTGTCGTAAAACCAGATACTGTAAATAGACACTTGAAAATAAGAAAAAAAGGCAAGTGTAAGACAAAGGTTTGAAAAAAAAAAAAAGAAATCAAATCAATAGGAAAAAGGCAAAAAAACCCAGTCCATTAGATCTGCAACATATGAATTACCATCAATTTCCACTCAAGTATTCTGTGTGTGACTGACTACTGTATAAATTAATCAGAAATAACACACGTGCAAACACAAACACAACTTCAGTCAGATTAAATGCAAGAACTACAAAATTTTGATACTGTTTGTAAATAAAAGTGGCAGGAAAATGAAGTTTTAACTACCAGATGCTTTCTCACTACAGTTGCAACCTTCTGTTTTGAATTACTGACTTTACCATTTAAACTAGGCTAAAGAATAACCGTATTTTTTTAAACAATCATTTTTAAACTTGTCAATTTTCGAAGGTCAACAAAAATATTGAAGTTTGAATTACAGTATGATGGTTCAGTCAGAGGCTCTCTCGAAGGTTCCCTCCCCAAATGCTTTTCGTAAGAGAAGTAATTGTATAGGAAGGAAGCAGTACCAAAGCTCCGATCACACCGTCACATTCATGGAGCAGCTTAAAACTAGATTCATATTGAACCCTACTCATTGAAGCTATCAAGGACAAAGCAATGAGAGCAAAAGGATTCCAGCTCAGCAAGACACTAAGCCCCATTCTGGCTTTCAGAATAAGTAAAGTTCCACTGAAACCTGGCAGAGTTAGAGTCTGATCACTGAGCTGAAAGATACTCCATCAGAGGGAGAAACTTTGTCAGTAGTGCCATGTACTATTTCTTCATCAGCAATCCCACTTCAGAGAGGCCATTTTTACCCACACACAGACTCATCTCCTCACTGTCTCCACAGTTGTGCCAACACAACAAATCTGCAGAACTCTTTTCAGAACTGTATTTAATCCAACCCACAAAGCAGGTTATTTTAAATCTTGGTTCACCTATGAAGTCTGTCAATGCATAGTGTGCAAGTACATCAAAGGCAATTGGACACTTTACATATGTTACCATTAAAATACTTTCATTTCTGAAAAGACACTTTTAGATTTTTAAAACTGATCTTTATACTGCAGTTCATGCCAATGTTTTTACGGAGTTGAAATCACTAAGTGATTATAAAAATATGACTTAAAGTGAAGGAAAGGAATAAAGGAATGTTTTTTTTTAAAAAAAAAATATACAACCTTTTCCAGCCAGATGTAGATTTTTATTTCAAAGTGAAATTATTCCCTCCCCCCGCCTCTTTTTTTTCCCCTCCTCAAAACACTCAAACATCTCAACCAAAGCCCACTGAAAATTATTTCAAGCCATGGCAAGGAGGGCAATTATTTACGAAACTTTTTTTCAAGACCTTCTAGTTATCCTAGGTGTACTGTATTGGACCAAAACCCTCAAAAAGTCATGCCCACACCTCATTTCTATAACGATACCCTAAGACAAACCAAAGTTGTACTTCACTTTTTTTTATTTTATTAAATAACAACTATATTCATTTGGGTGTTTGTTTCTTTAGAGGTTACAGCTTAAGTAATAGACAACAAAGCTTTTCAAGTCATAAAGAAATCAATACAGCACAACTCAAGGAACTTTCTTTTTACAAAAGACATAAGCCAATAAAAAAAAACATTTCATACGTGTAGCCAATGCTTATGAAATATTTATTAATATTTACAGTTTAATACAACTGGATTGTCTACTGCATAGACACCTGAAAACGTTTCCAGTCTGAGCTACTTCTTTAGTCATGTAGCGTACTTTAACACTGAAGAAAAGCTCTTTC